TTTTCCCACACATCAGTTATGGATACTTTACTATAGAGGATAAATTTAATTTCCTCTTATAAATATGGTATTTACACTACTATGATTTCAGATTTAGAACAAGACATTACATTATAAAACATATAAGCCTCTTACTTTACACTGAACTTCATCCTTCTTGCTCTTGTTGCTCCTTTGTTTTGCTAATACTTTCTGTTTTTATGTTAATAACAGCTTTATAACTGGGGTGCAATGTGAAGGCTGTGTTGACAATCATATAGCCTGATGTGTATTTCTGCAAGTCAGTCTGTGAAAGTGCCAGTTCTAGTGCATCCTCATGAGTTAAGTTATCAAGTTGATGCCGTGGTAGATAAATGCTCTTCTTCTCTAGTCCATTCACCTGCAGTAAAATATAACTCATTACATAAACAAGAAACACATACATTTTGGTGAGGGTACTCTTAGAAATAAGGCTGCCAGTACATTAAATAATAATCAAATTTTGTGAATTTTTCAAAACATGAAATACGTTAAAGATTTTAAATTCACAGTCCAATTTTGAAGGCACATCAGTCAAATACCTAAATACACCACAATAAGAAGTAGTTAAGTGTTCTGATGATATTAACCACCTACTTCCAATTACAAGTTAACAAGCTGAGTTAATTTGTCAGTCCAACTTTAGTTACTGATTTTCTGTTCTTTCATACATTTTTTAACTCTCTTCTAACACATAACAATTAAAATATATTTATGTAACATACTACTAAAGTATTTTATACAATAATTTATCTCAATATTATATCACTAGAGTGCCACACCTGTATAAGTTCAGCAGCCACAGGTTCATAAGCCTTGGGCCATTACAGGTACTGTAGTATAATTATATATACACTCCCTATAGTTCTGTGGCATGTTAACATACCCCTGCTAGAAGGGAGACAGCAGTGAAAGAATTAATGTATTCCAAAGTTGAACTGACCTGTCATTGTTCTTGTGGTTTTTATATATACAATAGATTCTGGGCCATCAGTTAATCTGGGCAGCTGTTAAAGAACAAAAATAAATTGAGAAAATAACTGGAATTTGCTTTGCTTATTTGGGACACCATGCCGTTTAATCGGAACAATGAGTGCTTTATGGCATACTTGTGGTGTGTGTCTCAGAAGAGTAAGTCAGTCAGTCATTGCTGATTCACCATTTGTTCCAGAATTCATTTAGTGTTTTTGTAGCTCAATAAATCACCTCAATAAAAGGGAGCTTGTCTTTTGTTTTAACCCTTTTAACTCTTTACGTGGAACTTCACGTAATTGGGGCAACCACTTAATTGGGCCAAAGTGTTCTAGTCCTGATATGTCCCAATTAACGGAAATCCACCGTGTATAAAAGAGGTCATGGATTAGTTCCTATGCCTTGTTACAATGTATTCTGACTGCAAGATAAGATTAGACAGGACACTTTCTTCCCCCAGATTAATATCCAACTTATTAAGAAACTTTGTTAGTATTACATTTGCCATAGCAGAGTGCTCCACTGAATTTAAGGCAAAGTCCTTATGTGCAATTTAGAACAAAATGCTGCCAACAATCTCTCCCTTTGATAGGGCAAAACCTTAAGTTGGCACTGTATTAAAGTTATTCTGAAAGAAAAAAAGAAATGGGAGAATGAAACATGTGAAAATGTGACAAGGTTGAAGGGTCAAAAACTTGAAGACCTCATTTAGATTGGGCAAGAAAATGCAAACAGCAACTGACAAATTTGTAAAGTAATTAGACAGCAGATGGGTCTTATAAATTTTGTATACAAACACCGGTATTTTTCTCCAGAAAAAAAAATATATACATTAAAGTACAGAGACACAATCCACAAGTTTTAGCTTTCATGATCCTCAGTATTTCACATACTATGTAATACTCTAATGCACTAATAAATAAAAATAAACCCAGAAATTATACAAAAATCAATCACCACCATGCCTTTACACCACTACTGTTGGTGGGCAGGGGGGCACTGTACTTAAAAAATTACAGAAATTCCTGCAGCTGTTATCTGGATAGAACATAATGTGTTCACCTTCTGGTTCTGAATAGAATGTAAGAGTTTCAGGATTTAGGCTGGCAGCCCTAAAATGCAGTATCATGATATGTAAGAGTCAATTATAACATAACATACAATACCATAGCCCGTAGTAGTGGTATGTTTACAGCCAACAGAACACAGGCAACACATATAATTTTTACTACAAAAGAAATAATTATTGAAGTATGAAAACATGAACAAATAAGAAAGTTTGATTAAAAGTTGGTAGCTTGTAAACTGCCTGACCTGCATGAAAATCAAATGAAATTTGAAGTTTTGTCTATAACACATTCACTCCAAAGTACTCTGTTGCTGGTTTACCTCTCAATTTGACTATTTTTAGCAATACATTAATACTTTTCAAAATTACATGGTAAAGAAATTAATGACAATCGATTTAGCATTCAACTTATCACAGAAAGCTGAATGCAATGGAAAATAAACTACATGCTCAAAGTGCATTCTGTCAGTCTGGACAAATCACTGGTAAATTACCATATATGGATATGGAAGTAAATGTCTTAACATTTATTTAATGTTACAAATGTAAAACATAAATTTTAATAATTGGGTTTTTTTAAACAGTATGTCAGCTATACATAAAATAAAATGTAAGTAAAATTCTCATTAAATAAATGAGGTAAATAAATTCCAGATGTACTCACCATGCAAACAAGTTGAAGGCAGTAGTTTAAATCAATTTCTGGCCAAGTCTGTTCCAGAACACCTCGGTCCCAATTGATTTCCTTTGTTGATGTATTTATGCGATTTGGAGCTGATACAAACCCAGACCACAATTCTGATGCAAAATGTGGTGCCATTGGTGCCAGAACAATGATCAAACATGCAAGAGCTCTCTCAAACTGAAGGCTGTGACCGATCACCTCTGGTGGTACTTGCTATAAAATTTATCAAATTATACACTATAATGCAATAAAAACACAAAACCTTTATGGAACAGATTGGCATGTTAAACCATATCTTATTATTTTGGATTTGGATATCCTCCTTATAAAAATCTTATCACTCTGCACACATAAACTGATACTGTACATAAACTGTGACAAGAACATATGGGTCCATAATTTTCTTATCAAATATTTAAATGTAAAGTTGAAATTTTGAAGAATAAGTTGAAACAGAACAAGAAATTCAATATGATCAGAGGTCAAGCAGGAACTACAAAATTAATTCTTGTCCTACTTACCCGCAAACTATTTGTGAGACCCTGCATCTTGGAAATAGCAACACTAAGTTGAAATGATGTTGTGTAGTTGAATGTAACACCTTTCAAATAGTAGTTTCGACTATCAAACATTTTAGCTTCATGCTCCTTGAATTCAGGTGTATCCGAAACTGTGTCAGAAACCACATTCTCTAGGTTGGAACGAATATTTAGGAAACTTCTCATTGTCAACCACAGACGATGCTGCCATTTCAATATACCAGGAAAGGCTACAAAAAATTATAAAGCATTCTTCTCTTCACTGAAAACATTCAAAACCTGAGGTACTGTAATCAAGGCAAATATCTGCATTTTGCCTACATCACTAGCTTGTGGGTAGAAGGGAAAGAAACAAATATACTACGCAAACCAAAGACATTACCAATACAGGAAACGAGACAGCAAGATACAAAGTACTGCTGCTGGGAAATGTTAATAATCTGGATGGTACGCACTAATCTGCTACCCCTCCCACCCCTCTCATCCCCTTACCACTTACCTCTATTATACTTCGAGCAGGCAGATTTACCCAGACTACAGTATGAATTAAGGTAATCAATATTCTGCTGTAAGTATTCTTTGTCGAGTGGTAAATATGTATGAAAGCATATTTATTTATTATAAAAGTAAGAAAGTTATCAGTGTTTATAAGCAAAATCTGGCTAGTGACATGGTATCACTAGTGTAATAATATTATAAGAAGCATCTGTTCTACAACATGCACTTGTCCGTATTACAGTTTTATAGTCAGAGTAAAGACTAACACGGATAAGAAACAGAATTTTAGGCCCCATATGCAAACATGGGACGTAGGGCACTTACTGCTACTGTTCCAGTGCCGATGAGATGTTGGTGCTACATCTGCAAGTATAAGTAGCCTAGTAGTGTCAGTTCCATATTCTTTCAGCATTGTCTCTGGATCCACACCATTATGTTTTGACTTGCTCATCTTCTCCCATGCAGTAACCACAGCCTGGCCGGTTACCTTTTCCACAGGTTTGGGACCTAATTCAATCATAACTAGTTATAGTTCCTCATTGTTTAAAATTAAGAATGTGTCTGGGCATTCCTCGCAATTTCACTCACATTTAAATATAAGTAACCAGAAATTCTTAAGTAAGTTAAAAGTTTGTATCCCACTGTGATTCTGAGACACAAAAAAATGTAAGTTTGGGTGTTTTTGTGAAGTCTCAAATAATCATTTGTTGATTTTCTTAAATCAGATACATCTTTGATACTAATCTCTTGAATATCTGGAACTCGGAACAGGATAAAAAATAATTAAAGAATGACTGATTTCTCAACTATAGTGAAGAATATATAAATTGTATCTGCATAAAACTAAAATGTTAAAGCAATCCTTAAAGATACATAATAGCATTAGCCAAGATTCTGTAAACTGTGTGCCACTAAATGTCTAGTCATCCAAAACTGAACAAGCCCTTCACATGATACATAAAAAATCAATAATTGTTCAATGACAGTTTTATTGAAAGTTGGAAAAATGTTTCTACCTTACATACACACATGCATACACACACAAATATATGGTATGCTCCAATTTTATGAAGACTTCAGATCTTATGAATTACAATGAACCTCTGCTCAGGAACTGAAACAAACATGACGCAAGGATTTTCATGAAATGAAAGCACTACAACTCACCTGAGAGATCTACATTTTCTTTAGGCAGATATCGACCAGTGCCTTTAACCCTGTAACTCTGCCCCATTACCATACCCTGGATCAGCAGCTGCTGAAATGGTTCTTGGCTTGGAACAAGGCCAACAGAGTGTAGAAAGTGATTCAAGAACCGTGCATAATACAAGTGAAGTACCGCTGTAACCAATTTTCAGTACATAAATAACAAACTTTTGCTGCATTAAGTAATAATTTATAAGCTTTCCAATGAAAAGCATATTTTATTTGGCTGGTGATTTTTCTTGTCTACAAACCTATAGGTTAAATATTCTATCATATCATGTAAAATGGTCACTGTTTAATGATTTGTTAAAAATTATATAGTCTGTTATATGTAACAGATGTATTTTTACTAGTAAATTTATTTTAAAAAGCACAGTAACAGAATTTGTATACATGAATTGTTCTTACCATGTTCCTTGCCTCCAATATATAAATCCACAGGCATAAATCTATTTGCCACCTCTTTACTGAATGGCATCTCCTTATTGTATGGATCAAGATACCGCAGAAAATACCATGATGAATCAACAAATGTATCCATAGTATCAGTCTCACGTGTAGCATCTCCACCACATCTTTAAGAGAAGTCACACAAATCTGTGTACACTTTTAACATTAGACATTCAGCTATTAACACACATAAACCTGTTACTGTATTAGAATACACAGTCTTAGTCAATATTGTAATTTAATTTCCCACAACTTCAAGTTCACAGACCTACAGTAAAATCTCATTAGTCACAAGTAAATAGAAAGAATGAATTTCAAATAATCTCTGATTCCCTTGAAAGGGGTTAAAATTTTTCACAGACTTCTGTTTTAATGTTATAGTGTTTACATACTAAATACATAATTAAACCGATAATTTCCTCTCTAGATTTTAAAAGGTAACCTAAATTTTAGGTTTAACCAAAGTTGTTTCATCCTACTGTACTCCAACCTCCTTCAGAATAATAACTCAGAAAGAGCAACAACAGACATATCATCTTTTGGTGGAATGACTTAATCTACACTGTCCACTAAGGCACACAGTGCTTTTCAAGATATGGCCAACACACAAGCTTGGCAATTAAAAGATCCCTAATTTATTTTCAGACTATCATTATCAAAAGTAAATTTGAAAATACCCAAAGACAGGATTACATCCAAATAACCAGCCAATGGATATCCAAAACAAGTCAGGACTAAGCAGGAACTAACAGAACTGACAATTTATAAATGATAAGTGAGAATGTAATAGTTCTTTACACTGCATGACCAAAAATCTGATAAAACACAAAGTTATTATTAACCTTTATCATACAGGAAAAGGGGACTTAAACTCTCATATTATGCGGCTGCCAGCCAGACTTTAACTCCAGTTTGCTAGTGAAACACATTGCAAGCTCAAATGTGTAACACACAACACATGGTTGATACAGGTTAAAGTACAAACTACAGTCAGTCCCCTGAAAAAGACCACTTGCACTAGATAGGAACACAGATATATTGCCAAATTATAAACACTAAAGCAACTACATTTCAAGAAAGTAAAATAATTAAAATAAACAATTTAGTATTATGTAACCAAATATAACATTATCAGTAACATATGTTGCCAGTGGGGCCAAAAGTTACCATAGTAATTTTTGAGTAACGTTCACATTATGAATAGTATTTTGAGTGGTATGCTGAACATGGTATAATCTGTACTTTGATCCCAAATCTTTGTTTCAACACATCAGAAACATGACTGAACATACACAGCAAGAGCCTGAACTCACATTTTGAATCTCTTCATGCCTTGATACCTATCCTATATCAGTTATGCAAGAATATTAAAAAGTTTTAACATACTTAGGACACTTTGTACTTAGCCACTCTGTAGCTTCTAGAAGAGATTTGCCCTTGTTTGATAATCTGTCAATGTCTGGTAAAATCACAGGCAGCTCACTGTATGGTACAGGTTGGGGACCATTACAATGTTTACAGTACACTATTGGAATAGGTGTACCCCAGTAACGCTGACGAGAAATTAACCAGTCTCGAAGTTTGGAACTGCAGGAATATCCACCAATCCCTAGTTGTTGTGCCACAGTATTAATGTGTTCCCTTGTCACACTAACATCTTCAACTGATTTCAACAGTCCATCATTTTCCTTTGGAGATAATATTGGAATGTTTGCAGCTGTTGCAAACAATCTGTCTATTTCTGAGATTTTTGGTACTCCAAGATGGCAGTCTGATCCTTCATCATATTCTACTTGATCAGTTACATATATGGGAAGGTCTTTTCCTGTAAAAGGATTCTTGGCCTGAAGAGGAAGTCTTTTAAACACACTGTTATTCTCAATGATACTGTCACAATCAAACTCTACCCGATCCAAGATGCTCCCAGGAGCTACAGCAATAAAACTTGCATAATGTATATGTTCTGGATTGCAGGTAAATACAGCAAGAGTTTGCTTGGTAAACTTTGATGAATTGTCCTCCAACTCAAATTCAAACCTAGTTCCATTACACTCCCCAATCCAATGTCTTTGAAGATTTATAATGTCTTTCCAGTTCTTAAGAATTGGGTCATCAAGTCCATCCAAAAGAGATCTGAAATTCAAGAATAATTAACTAAGTAAAAGTCAGATTCTTCAGCCTTTTACAAAATTAAATAAATTTAAAGACAAGCCAAATCAATAAATAACTTCAAATACTTTGAAAAACGTGTTGTTCTAATGAACCACTGATTTAGCAGTTTCTTTTCCACTTTAGCACCCGAACGCCATGAGCAACCATTTGCATCAACTTGCTCATCTGCCAGTACTGTCTGATCTACTGGATCCCAGTTGACAAGGGCCTAAAAAATAAAAGTGTATCTAATCAGAATAAGTCCCTTTCAAATGATCTGTGTTTATAATACCAACTCTTCTGTCATCAAAAGATCTATCTTAATGCTGTCCTCTCATCTCCTTCACTGTCTCCCAAGTGGTCACATTCCTAGAGGTTCTCCAACCAAACTTCTATTTGCATTTATTGCACTTCCCTTATGATATGTGTGTCCAGATAAGCTAATTTATTTCATTATACTAACAAAATTTAAGACTGTATAATTCAAAATCCATTGTTGTACAATATCCTAAATTGTCTCTCAGGTTCAAATATTTTCCTAACACTGTTTTCTAACATCTGTAATTTAAGCCACTCAGACTAGATACTGTTGAATGAAAATATGATAGTGAATAATGAATTGGAAAGGATGTGGAAGAAAGTGGTCATGGCCTAATATTTTGTATAAAAGTTATACAAATTATATCAGCATTTTATTTAATTCTTCACTTTCATTACCTACATTACATATCCTGTATGATTTAATTACTTTACTTGAATACCATATACTTAAATGTTTTGTTTATGTCTAATTACTTTCACAAAAATAAATACACGTAATTTGTTATTCTCATACTTCCAAAATGCCTAGGCTTTCATGATGCTCACTGGAGGAGTTCCTTTCACAATTACTTCTCAGTGGATATTTCAGAAGCCATTTTCTTTGTCAGCAATCATTATAAAGAAGACCAATGATTCAATAATGTGTAGTTTAAAAAATCATATAAATATTGTTTGCACAAATTCTGTTCTTTGGGATAGCATACCCTGAAATGTGCTTTACAGCAAGTCCACTCCACAATTTTGGCTGTAGGGTCCCCAACACCCCAATAAATACTTTATTTATTTTAGCTACCAAGACTTTTTCTTAACACTTTTTCTCTGACACACAATTTGGGAACCATCCAATTCCTCTGATTCAAATTTTGACTTAAATGACCTCCATTTTGTTTGAATTGTATTTGCCGAGTCATTTTCATATCATAAATATGCTTCTATATTATTCAGGAGATACACAAATCCTTTGAAAATAAGGGGCAATTTTTATATAAATGGTGGTATATAATTCAAGGCAAAACTCCTAATCAGTGGGATTGTAGTAATGAGTAGAATGACTGGAAGTTATGAAAAATGCAAACATTTGAGCCCTCAAAGGAACTCAAATTTGTGACCCTACAGTGCAGTTATTTTAAGATCATTCAACCTTTAAATAATTTAATCAATCTACTATAATTTTAAAGATATTCTAATATACTTACTTCTTTTCTGTAAACTAACCCTTCTTCATACATTCTTAAAAATATGAACTGTGTCCAACAATAATACTTTTGGTCACAAGTTGTCAGCTCACGATCCCATTCAAAGCTGCAACCTAATTTCTGAAGCTGTTCCTTCATGTGTTTTATATTTTGTTTGGTCCAAGCTGATGGCTCTATTCCTCTTTCAATTGCAGCATTTTCTGCAGGAAGACCAAATGCATCCCAACCCATGGGATGAATCACCTTTGTAGAAGAATTACAAACATTAGTTGCATTACAGAAAAAAATTTAAACCTATCACTTACCATAACATATAAGAACACTTAATACTTGAACATTACATTTTTCCCATTCATCCTGTAGAAACGGGCCATTGTGTCACTAATAGTGTATACTCGTACATGCCCCATATGCAATTGTCCTGATGGATAAGGAAACATTGACAGCACATAAAATTTAGATTTCTTGTTATCATCACTATAAATGGGTGCCTCAAGCTTGTTTCTCCATCTATGTTCAATGTCATGTTTGATTAATGTTGAAAGGTCTTCATTCTGCAAGTAAAGAAATACTGTTACATTGATTCTTGGTTTAAGCAATACAGGAGAAGTCCACCTAACCTCATTGTTAATGTTAATAGTACTTTTTTACTCAAACTAACTTCATTAACTACCCATATTTCATCATCTGTCTTTCCTCATACATATCAATGATCTGTCTGATTCTCAGTCTAAACTCACACTTTTTTGTGAATCAGACCATTATTACTTCACATATAGAAATTGACTGTTTCCAAATATACATATATTATGTCTTTGCTAGCTCGAACAAATGGTTTAAAGCCAATAAACTCACATTACATTTTTACATAACAAATTTCATCAAACTCTATACTACCAACAGAATTTGTGTTAATCTATGCCCGAATTTATAACTTGTGTTGGGCAACACGGAGTTTTCCTCCGGGGGCTTCCCCAGTTTCTCCGTGGCATCTAAACAATTACTCCATTCACACACAGAAGAAGGCAATGGCAAACCACTTCTGAATCATCTGCCAAGAACGTATATGAACAGGTCCCAGTCCGAGAAAAGGATGGAAGGATCCTGTTCATATGGACCTGTCGTCAGACAGAACACTAAATAAAAAATAATAAAGGATACAAGGATAAAACAATTGAAGAAGTACAAACAACTGCATTTCTTGGCTTGTAAATTGAAATAACTTAAACTGAAAACACATTATCCCTAAACTACACTCAGCATGCTTTGCTATGAGGGCAGTCTCATCATTCATGAAAACAGAAACTTTAAAATTAGTCTACTTTGCTTACTACCATTTGATTGTCATATAGAATTATGTATTTTTGCTATGACATGTCCTAGATCCTTGATTTAGGTCTATGAAGAATCTATGGAATGTAAATAACTATTCCATGCCTGGCTGCCCATTTGAAGTTTAGTTGAAAGGTGGAGCATTTGCCAAGCTCACTATGGTACTGATCAGTTTTCTGTAGTTGAATACATGCCTATATTTTGTGTCTGGGTGTCTATAAATTGTTAGCAGAAATGAAAGTTGTGATCTCAAGATACAGTACTAAGGAAATGTGTGCTCCTGTATCACTAAAGACACCATATGACGCGGTTTGTATCCCGGGAATCTTTCATTTGTCAAATATGTTTGCACAATTTTCTTCGTTATTTCTGCGAGTTATATGATTCCATTATATGAGCTCGCGAAAGTAATCGAATACTACTCAACTAATACACATTTATAAGGTGCTGTAATCCTTTCATTGATACTGTAATTTAATTGTTAACTTACCCATTTTCCAGCATTAGAACATAAGAAACGGGGAAGTCTGTTGTTCAAGAATTTGTGAAGCAAAGTACAAGAATATGTTTTCATTTTATTATTACCTCACTACAATTATATTGTTCATTTGAAAATATACACTTTCATAACCCTGTTGCTCCTCCAGAGATTAGTGTTCAGCCTTAAAGATCACCTAATTTTCCATAGATAATACCAACGTCTGTGCTAGAAATTGCAAATCTTTGACACACGACTATATCCTGTACCGAAGGTTCTTTTCCGGCGTGTGCTAGTTGAGTAAGGTGTTAGTGATATGATTTTTATGTTAATCTGTTTTATTATTTGTCATCCTGTAACAGTTGTATAATATAGTATTTTAAAATGATTCTATTGTTTATGTTTCAGTGCCAGAATGGCGCCTAAACGGAATAATATGATCCCTAATGGCCATTTCCATAAAGATTGGCAGCGATTTGTGAAGACCTGGTTCAACCAGCCTGCTCGGAAGTTTAGAAGGAGGCAAACTAGGATTAAGAAAGCCCGAGCCATTGCTCCTAGACCAGCTGCAGGCCCTCTGCGCCCCATCGTGAGGTGCCCAACAGTTCGGTATCATAAAAAGTTACGTGCAGGAAGAGGATTCACTCTTGATGAGATTAAGGTTAGTTCTTTAACATTGTTGTATTGATGTTATGAAGTAGTACGGAAGTAATCGATCTTTATCACATTAGTCTTAAATCATATTTGTCTCTATTAGGGCGCAGGATTGAATGCCGGCTTTGCACGCACAATTGGTATTTCTGTTGATCACCGGCGTCGTAACAAGTCTGTGGAGTCTTTGCAACAGAATGTGCAGCGTCTGAAGGAGTACAGATCCAAATTGATCCTATTCCCCACCCATCCTAACAGGAAACTCAGGAAAGGGGAGGCTACTGTAAGTTATAATTCAGTTTTGCCACTGTGTGGAATTATGATGATGTTTAGTTGTAGGCCATGTTGAATCATCAAACTCTTGATTTTAGGAGGAAGAAAGGAAAGTGGCAACACAATTGAAAACAACAGTGATGCCAATCAAGCAACCTGGAGTCAAGTCTAGGGCTCGTAAAGTGACTGCAGAGGAGAAGAAATTCTCAGCTTTTGCCACCCTTCGTAAAGTAAGTTACTTTGCAACTAAAAATGTTAAATGTTTCACAGATTTTGTTGCATTGTTAGAGACATGTAGTTCTAACATGGTAATTCAACAGGGTAGTGCAAGATGTTATGTTTTGGAAAGGATTCTTATTTAAATAGGTAGAAATTTTCTTACAGTATGAAAGTTATTTATCTGGTGTGTTCATTAAGTGATTATCATCTTACGGTACCAGTTCAGAAATGTTTTTTTATAGTCCACACAATAATCATGGCATATTGAAATCAAGAAAGCATTTGAATAAGATATTGTATGTTCATGTCACACGTGGTCTGAGGCATCATGCTTCGGACCGGCAATATGGAATGCACGCTGGTTCGAGTCTCGGGGAAAGAAATTTATCATGAGATTTTCGACCGGTGTATGGGACTGGTGCCAACCCAGCATCGTGAGGAAATTGGGTAGCATAATCCGGTCATGAAAACTAGCAATGTCTGGGGGTTTGTCGTGCTGACCACACATCACCCTATATCTGGCTGGATGGTGGTTTATTTCTGCTTAGGCATGTGAACGGGAGGCCCGCAGCCAGCTACTCGGCTTTGGCTCTCAGAGGGCTGTTACGCCACGGATTATTGTTTGTTCATGGCAGATGTCTCCTTGCATATTTGTGCTGTATTTTTTATGTCATGTTATGTATGTAGGCTCGTACCGATGCAAGACTGGTTGGAATTAGAGCCAAGCGACTGAAGGATGCAGCAGAAAATCCTGATGTTGTCACAAAGCCTGGCAAAGAAGGCAAGAAGAAGAAGAAGTAAACTGTAACTTAAAATTGCTGGATTTGTTTGAAAATTAAGGCTTTGTAATATATAATATAAACTTTGGAATTATCGTGTCTTCTGTTTATTTGAAGGAGACTAACCCTTCCCCAGCATAAGTTAAGGGATAACAGGAACCCTTTGAGGCAGAAATGCTCAATCTTCTCCAGACCTGGGGTCACAGTCCCCCGCTTGTTATTAACTTGTGGGCCAGCAGTTTATAAATGATGGCAATCTGTTGAAATGCCATTGCAGTTTATTAAAAATGTTACCAAATAGGCCTAAGATCAGATACTGGGAGACATTGTGGCCATCACATGTACATGATATTCTTTTATACCATTCATGGTTTTCTGCTAGCATATTCATTTTAAATAATTTCAATAGCCAGTGGTAAAAATTTTGGTTTTGGCACTCGTCATGCAGATGTTGCATCGGAGGGCTACAATTTATTTTGAATAGAGGGTCGCAATGGTGTCTGCTCTTAGTCTCTGCCTTGATTTTTCAAGAGGTTTCATCAACAAAATTCTATATACAGTTCTTCTCTCACCCATCTCCAAATACTGCATTACTGTTACTGCTGTATAAAACGAACCTACTTTTTGTCAAGTGCAAATTGGTGTTTTATGACATTGGTTATGTACCATAATCATTTCAATGATGTCTGTCTTTAGGGTTGTTGCGCTATATATTCTGATAGAAGTTCACCAACACTTCAGACGTCCTTGCTGCCTCCATCATGAGGGCTGTGATGGAGGCAGCAAGGACTTCTGAAATGTTGATAAACTTCTATCAGACTGCACGACATAACAACCCAGAAGACAGCCATCTTCGGATTTGCCATTGTGAAAACCTCAAATCCTACTTAATTTATGCTTAACATAAAATTATGTTAAAGGCAATTAAGACCATAGTTGAAAATGCTGTGTACATGAGATACTGCACTAGTATATGAAGATGATGATTATAACTGTAATAACAAAGGACAATATGTCTCCTACATATTGCAGTCAAGAGATCATATGACCTTGAGAGCAATTAGAATAATTTCTCTTGACAATATAGTTTCTTATGTACACAGCATTTTCAGTGTAATTTCTTATACTGAGTACAAAGCTACGTCTATGGTACATTATCAAAATGTACAAAGTGGAGCAAACTTCTCATTCATATTCACAAATTATGCTTATTCAACAACAGATTTTACAAATGAGGGTTTTGCCAGTTTCTACATATTATCAAGGTAAACATTGATTTGTAATTGTTCTGCAGATTATCAGTGGATGTAAAACACTCATATATTTCCACATAACACTCATTATGAACACAAACTAAAACACTCATGTCCAGAATCAAACTACATAACAAGGAATATTCAGAAATAACTGGGACTCAAATACAGGCTGAGAAATGATGACAGCTGCGTAGTCCAACACACTTCACATACTCCCCACTGAGGGCAATTTCCTGATGGATACAGCTAACCAGTCTTTTGGCACAGTATTACCAACCTGCAAACACCTCTCTGCAAGTTGTTGCTAAGGAACTCGCAACTGCACAGTGACTTACACAAAGACAGGTATAACAGGAAAAACAGGTATCTGGATGGTATTTGAATCAGTTAAAATTCTGAGTTACTTAAAAACAAGATTTTACATAAATGAAACAGTTTATATTTTAGATAAAATAATTAGAAGGGTGCTACATATACAGAATTTAATATCACAATACTCTATTCATTCAATTTTGCTGTACCACAGTAAATGTAGACAGTGTCTTAGCATGTTGCATGATTTTGTCCATTTCCACTGGAAAAACAGCAAAAGTATACATTCACTTTTTTGTTGGTCTTCATAAAGAGTGATAAAGATAAACTGCTCACAAGTTCTTCTGAGCTACTGACAGCATCATTAAATAAACCATAAATAAAATAATACATTAGATCTAAAACAGTGGACTTTAAATATATTCTAATATGAAAGCTCATACTAGGGAGAAGAAATGTAATTTGACACTTTTCCTTCCCCCCTAACACCTTTCAACATTACTAAACAGATATCACAGCATTCAGGAATAAGTTGGTGATGTAAATATTATTTATAAGAAGACTACATTATAATTTAAAATATGAGGACTGATAAATCAATTCCCTATATGCTTGATCTTAATAATTTAACTAAAACATAGTAACAATCATTAAATAAATACTTAATGATTCATAATGACATTATGAAACTTCAATCATGGTTTGAAGATAGTTGCAGTACTAACTTGTCAGTGTCTGCATGGGGGTATCATAGCCTGAGAAATGTATGAAATTATGCATTGAATTATTTTTAATTTTAGTGGCAACTGGTATATTGTAACAACCAAAAAATGGATGTTTACATAGCTTTAAGACTGACAACAGTTGGTCGGTATCTGCAGCTGGTAGAATCCATATTGATGTGTGGGATATATGGTGCACGTATATGTGGTTTAGCTAGAAACCTTTGGCCAGCTATGTCAATTTCATATTTTGCACCAGGAGCCATAATGAATTCATTTGTAACAATTTGATGACCATTTGAATCTCCCTTGGTTATGCCAGGGTGTCTAATGTAACCAACACATATCAGCTTGTCCAAAGTAAATCCATATCTGTAATAAAAGAAATATAGAGTGGAATTAGAACTTGCATTTTGTGGAGGACAATTCATTTAAACTCTTAAATGGAGATAAGTATTATATACAAACAGGTATCTGAAGTTGTTACATAATTTATAGCATTACTGTAATGAGTATATGTACACTGTAGTTAATGAGAACTCCCTATCTATGCCCAGGGTTTCAAAGCAGTGCCCTCCCTCCCTTCAGTGTTTCTAACAGAAATCTTGAATGCATTTATCATCACTCCCATGCATGCTCCATCCATCTCCCTTGATTTTAGTGTCCTAATAATACACAATAAAGAGTAAAAATTATGAAGATTTTTCCTCTGTCTTGGTTCCAAATATTCGCCTCAGCACCTTGTTCTTAAATACTGTCAATGTTATGTTCCTCCCTTAACATGAGAGTCCAAGTTTTACACTCACACAAAACAACAACAGGTAAACTTACAGGAAAACACAATAAAATTAATTGTTAAAAATTAATTAAAAATTCACAAAGTTTAAAGTTGAAGAACTTGCTACAATTATTTCTCAGTATTACAATTTGTGACTCACCCAGCTGATGTAACAGTTCCCACAAATTCACCATTTCTGTATAATGGCTCTCCTCCCCATGGCCAAATATGTATATCTGGATCAATATCTTCTAAAACAAAGAAAACTAGCCTCTGGGTAACTCCTTGTTCTTTCTGGCGCTGAAGAGCAAACTTGCCAATAAAGTACTCTTTATCTAATTTTACACGATGTCCTGCACCAGCCTCAAATGGTGTTGTGAGGCTTGTCAGTTCCTCAGCCCAGAAAGCAATGAACTTTTCAATGCGCATAAAACGCTGTGTGAGGCAACCTACATCTCTCGCTCCATAGTCTTGGCCAACCTTGAAAGAAAGAAAGAATTATAAGTGTTCCTTTTTCACACCCAATTGACACTACAATGGAAAAATTACACTGATTTATAAAAATACTATAAAACAAAAATTCTGCTTCTGTAATTTTTCACTTTAAAATAATGATGTTTCATTGGAAAGGAAAATGTTAATGAATGGAAAAGCATTTTGTAGGAGATTTATCAAGTGATACAGATTCAATAGGAGTTTCTGTGACATATATAATATATAAGCTGCTACCAAGTACATTGATGCTATAAATTACATAATAATTTTACTTTTACTTGTAAAAAAACAAACTAATCATTTAGAAAGAATGAAAGATGACAGCCAAGAATTAGAATTTTCAAGATCAGACTGCTTCAAGCCTGACCTTGCAGAACTGACATATACATAATATAATCTAAGATTCATAGGCAATGCTGAATCCTATAGTTCTTTGAACCATTAACTCATAGGATACAGTATGTTGAAATTTGAAATGACATTTCATAGACATTTGCTCCTTCCATCTTCAAATTTTACAAGTTGATTTCAAATCAGAACATGGAGGCATATGGTATTTCTGAAATGGCAGCACTTTTTGCTGTTTCATCATGGCAAAATGGAAAATCATTGAGCAACACAGTTGTCATTAGTCTTGATTCCCTCTCCCCCTCCCCCGAAATAAATAATTAAACATTTTTAAACAAGAATGATTTTCACTGAACTTGCTTGCCAGATTCAGATAGATATAACAGATTAACAAGTCCCTTTTGCTACACTATCTAACAGTAACTTTCACATTACAAACTTCATATCTTACCGTCATTAGTCGGTCATAAACATGAAGAGCATATTCTGAAGGAACATACAAGCAGTATCCAGGCTCCCCTGTATGAGTAAATGACATTACCATAACATCAGACGCATAACCCACATTCACTTTCTTGTAAGTAAATGGATGAAGTTTTACATCAGAATTGGACAATTCTGACATGAGGTCACGGGATTTTGGTCCAACAACATTTATCACTGTGTACATTGATGTCATGTCAGTAAGTCCAACAGAATGGTCAGGGGGAAGATTGCGCTGCATCCATTCAAAGGTACGAGTCTGCTGATTCGTAGGAGACACCATGAAGAAACTGTACAAACAAAACAAATGTTACAGCATGCCAATGGCAACAAGTTTTTAACACATGCTAAATGAAGCCACATGTAAAATGGTAATTCACACTTTCCAATATAGACCAAAATAAGATGTCGCCAAATGAGGAAGAGATGTAAACATTAAATTTAATTTCTGTTCAATTATCAGGTTAAAAAATGTGGGATTTCTAAATATGTACCGATTAGACAATGAAAAATTGCATGCCTCTGAACTTCACATAATAAATGAAACCAAACACACGTAATAGCTACAAACAGTTAAAAATTCAAACTGATAACTATCACATTGCTCAATATAGGCCCACTGTAAACTAGCTTTTGTGACAACAAAACTAATTCTCTATCCTTATTCTGTATATTTATAATGTTCTATAATTCAGAATAAACTAGGTGGTTTATTTGTATTCTGACATCCAAGAGTTGAAAGGAGAAAAATGCATGTGTTTATGTTCTATAAGGATGATACTTTCAAATACTCCTTCAAACTTCAATTATTTTATGATGTAGTGCTCACTGGCATTAAAAATTTGTAATTCTCAGTCTATAATGTTTTCATGCTCTTATGTCCAAATGGAAAACAGTACATTTGAAATCAGTCTGTGTATTCTAGTGTTGAATAAAAATAATAAACTCTTAGATATTTTGGAGTTTTTAAGACCATCTTACATGATTCTAATTTCTTAAAATGGAAATAGGAACAGCCAGTTTCTTGGTAGTGAACATAAAGTAAAGCTGTCCCACTACAAGCCATGGAGGTTCTTAGAGGTAAAGGAGAGTTTCTGCTCATTCTTGGCCTTGACACCACATGGGGGTGAGTGGTCAGTGTTATGCCCAGCCACAATTTACACCCAGGGAAGTGACCACTGGTACCCACTGGCTGGATACACACCAAAGCTGGTCTTGATGCAGAAGCTAGATGAAAAATCCTTTGCTCCTGCCAGAGATCAAGCTCATCATCCAGTCCATACTCAAACACCATGCTGACTGAGCTACCCTGGCTAATTTGGTAGTGTACATACCAAATAAAAAGATTTACAATAACAAATTTAAATCTATAAATGTCAACAATGGGTTACTAACCCCAACTAGAGAAGGGAAACAAATCATGAATTTATTAAGTTAAAACTTACGAATTATCATTCTGGCGGACAATCATGCAGTCATTTTCATATCCACCATACTCATTCTGCATTCCAGTATGAACTATTCCTCCTACTGGGATGTTGACATCATTTGAGCACACCCGTTGAAGATAATCTACTACTTCACTGCCACTTGACTAAAACAAAATTGTTTTAGAAATAGCAAGAGAGATTAAAATTATAAGACGTAATGAAATACGTAAGTGATTACACTGTTTCCTAATATTAGTTTCCTCTCATTACTAATGAGTAAAGCTGCAGCACTGCACATTTCCATGAGTATGTGGTGGTTATCCTCCCATTTTTACAAGAAGCAAGTTTCTGAATTTATTCCATCCAGGTTCCAGAATGTTACTGCAGTATAATACACAACATTAAAAACAGACTAGTTGACACTTGGCAAGTGTCCTGTGGAAAGAACATTGTGAGTCATGAGATATTTCCTTGTCTCTCACTCATCAAATCACAACTGAAGAAAATTCATATAAACTGTGTGCTTACCTTAATTTCTATCTTTGAAAATGATGACATATCAATGATACCTACACCTTCTCTGCAAGCTAAATACTCTTCACGCATGAAATCAAAAAACTTTGGTTTATAGAAGCTTCCAGGTGGCATCTGAGGTAGCGGATCACCATCTATGGGCAGGAAATAAATATATAAAAAACAATCAGTTTTACATATTCTTAATTATAAAACCTTATATGCAATTAACAGAACTTGCCTTTGTATGTAGAATCAAAGTAGAGCGCCCGCTCATAAGCCATCCTTGTCCCAAATACTGCACCCCGTTTTTCCAGTACACTGTACAATGGAGAGCATCGTAACTTGCGAGCATATTTGTACTCACACTGATGCGGATATAGAATTGAATAGTGCCTGAAATTCAATATTTCTCAGTATATCACATTCAAGAATATATACAACTGTGTTCATGTTTATATCTTTTACATGTTTATATATTTATATATATGTACTGAAAATAAATGTCAAAAATAATGTAAGAATTGTAAGGTTTCTATGGAAACCAGCATGACATGTCACTTCTTAAGAGCACATGTTTCATTGTGACATGAGTGAGGTCAAAAACAAACCAGATTATGAAACTAGGTCACAGAAAAATTAAGTATTTGCATAATTTTTAATTTCAAATTATTTTGCACATTTACAATATTTATGAAGTCTGATAAAAAAAGTTTTGGGGCTGATCTGTTGGAAGCAAACTCAAAAGTCAAAATAAATAATCAAATTTATTAATTACAATGTCAACTAAAAATCATAGTACATAGCAATTTCAGTAATGCTGCCATCTCTTGAAGCACCTCTAGTAATCTTCTTTTAGGAGAATGTTCAATGCTCATACCACACTTCACACTTCATATGATCAACATCCATTTAGGATGCTTTTAGCTGGGAAATATATAAAGGTTACTCAATGCCAAGCCCTGTAATCATGGCAGATGCTGAACAAATGGAATACTGTGCCTGACAATGAATTCAATTATGGAGGCTATTTAGTTAGACAAAATAACCACCATTCACAAGACAAATTTTGCCAAAATTGTCTTCATTCCTACATCTTTAGTTTAAACCACCTGCCATTTATTGTACTAAATATTAATTTCATTCACAACTTGAAACATAACCTTGTCTTCAAGAATTTAATCATAAAAGTGACTGATTCCTTAATGTACAATATGTAAAGAAGACAGGAACACACAACCTTCTACTAAATTTCAGCCATCTTTAAAGAGAGCAGGCTAATAAAATATTTCAAAGGCTGACATATTCATCAGTCAGTCTTCTCAAATTTCATACATAATTTTAAGAACAAATGTTATTTGTTTATGACAACCATTTCCCAGCATAATATATCAGTAAAACAGTTGTGCAAAAGATGGTGTCTCTTTTGGAAGTATGAGAAACTGACAGATTTCCAGAAGATAAATGAAGCCAGCCAAGAGCTGCTAATCACAGTACTTACCTAACATCCTTATCATGTGCTTCATACTATTACAGTAAGTCCCAATCAGACATATATTAATGATTTCAAAGTCCATAATGATAAATCATAATTAACATTGAAAGAATTTCTCATTGCAACTGATATTGATAATGATTACGTGGATGGCAGATATAACATTTCAGTGATGGTAATAATGACAGCACAGACAATGACAATGATTATGACAATCTTAGCATCTTTAATTAAAGTAGTTTCAATTCCATGAAGTCACAATGTTATTTTCAACATGTCTATGAATTTTGTTTGAATTATGTCATCATTTACTGGTTCATCCATTAAAGACTATCCAAGCAACTTGACTTACAATACGTCAATATAAGGGGGGTGTACAATTATCTCTTCCTAAAGGCAATAATGTACCAACAAAATGTAAAATAGCCAAGGAAGCCAATAATAATAAACTTCTAATAATTGATCATTTATTAAATTTAAAATACCAAAGGCAACATTTTAACTTCCATTATATCAGATTATGTAAAATCATTAAATTATTAAAACTAAAGGAACAGAAAACTCTTGCAAGCATTTTATATGATTCAAGCTCAACAGTACCTGCCAACTACTTCCCTAGTGCGTTGCAGGAGGTATTGTCTATTATTGTGCAGATCCAGGAATCGCTGAACACTAAATGGAATCAATTCTGTTGTTGGTACACCTTCAATAATCCACTCTGCCACAGCTTTACCGATACCACCAGCTCCTTGCAGGGAGTTACCATTCATCCCCACAGACACAAAGTAATTTTTCACCTATAAACACATTTTCACTCTTATAAGTTTCTAATATAATACATATTGAAGACTAAAACTGGAAAAATTTGTTGTGTGATATACTGAAATTCTTCCAAGCAATACCTCTGGTGTCTCTCCTAAGATCCACCGCCCATCAGGAGTGAAATTGTCTGGTGAATTTGTAAGCACTGGATTATGGACATCTTTCAGTATGGGTAAACGGTGTATAGCTTTTTCCCAAAGTGGCACTGAAAATGATCCAAATAATTTTATTAATGACGACAATATTAAAAGTAGTCAGAAAGTGTTTATATTATCACCTCTCACCCCATCTGTGCACACCACATGCCCCTCCCATCTCATTCTTCTTGACTTAATCACCCTGACAATACTGAGGGAGCAGTACAAATTTCTAAGCTCATCATTATGCAGTTTTCTCCATACCCCATTCTCTTCTCTCCTAGAGCAAAATATTATCCTCAGCATCCTATTCTCAAACACCTGCAATCTAAATAACAAAATCCTAATAAATAAAATATATTACTATGATCAACCTGTACATGGATGAAGATTTCCGTCTTCTGGGTTGTTGCGCTGTGTAGTCTGGTCGATGTTAACCAACGTTTCAGAGGTCATATTGTCTCCGTCATCATCGCCCTGATGACGGAGGCAGTATGACCTCTGAAACGTTGGTTAACATCGACCAGACTACACAGCGCAACAACCCAGAAGACGGAAACCTTCATACTCACCGCTGTGAGAACCTCAAGTCTTACACTGTACATGGATCTTAAACAACCAAGTTCCTTGGTCTCCAGTGGTGTACAGGTTTATTTATGAGACAGCACACTAACACTTGCTTTGTGAATATACTTGCTTTAATGACATTCAGAGATTAATCAAATCAAGATTGGCACATTCATCGGCCTGATGACGGAGGCAGTATGACCTCTGAAACGTTGGCTAACATCAATCAGACTACACAGCGCAACAACCCAGAAGACAGGAATCTTCATACTCACCACTGTGAAAACCTCAAATCTTACATAATAAAACGCAACACCATGCACAGCTATTAATTCCACAGACCAAATGCTAATCTTACCATATTTAACACAAGTGTATATTATGCAGGAATTAAATTGTATAATAAACTACAATTTGAATTAAATGTCTACCTACTCACAGAAGTGTAATTTCAATTGTCATTAAAAGAAATCATTTCATAACACCCTTTAATTTCTTGATGAATTTGTAAACCTTACATAATTAATAAAAAATTTATTGTTTTTCTATGATACTTAGTTATTGTGTTTATTTGTACACTAACTTGTTCCATATCCTAATTAACCAGAATCCATGTAATGCATATAATTCATCCATCTATAATAACTTAATTTCAACATGGTTAGAAGAATACACACATTTTACAAAAACTATAAGAATAACATGATTTGGTCTTGTCCTTTTACTGTACTGAACAGATTCTGTTTTGACAAATCAAAGTAAGGGAAGTAGCCCCATACCATAATAACATCAGGGCCTATAATAACGTCTGTTTAAGTACAGAACTTAAAAGTGCAATAAAACAAAGACACTCCATTGGTTTCAGCTTTATTAATAGTAGCATAGAATTAGAGATTATGATACACTTTTTGAATCTCAATAACTCTCTTTTTCATAGATGCCTGTATAATGAAGAATAAAGTATATAAAATGACAGCATAATAAAATGTGTCTATCTGCACATTTCATCTATAAAACTACCAACTGGATTTGATTACATTTTACATAAGACATCTACAGTAAATGTTAAGCAAATTGTCGTTCACCTCTACTTAGGCATGTGAACGTGAGGCCAGCAGTCAAGTTAGTCGGCTTTGGCTCTCTGGAGCTGTTACGCCACAGATATAATTTAATTTAATTGTACCCTAACCATAGATGTGATAGGTTCCTCCAAAACAACAGTATGCACCAACATGGTATTATAACAAGAAGACCACAATACATTTTTTTAAAAAAAAGTCACATTCAAATTCTACTTCACATACAGCTCAAAGTGAACTTCACTGAAAACAAGACAATCATAACACCATTCCATGGATGAAAAATTTTGTGTTTATAGATGAATGTCAATTTATACTACCAAATCTTCTGGACTTGGATGCTGACTACTGTGGAACTACCAGGCTTCTTTAAATACACGTTATTCTGAAAATTTATTTCCTTCAGTTATTTAAAAACAAAAATAACGTCCATGAATCTTTTCCTTGTCATTTAATGACACATGTATCAGCTTCTCAACTTCACAGCTCAGTGACATAAGAACGATGTGTAATTAGTCAAGGGTTTTTTTCATATATATATATACACACACACATGCACACACATGTGCACGAGCATGCACACACATTATTCTAGATCAGTGAAAGACCCTGTATTCAGAGAGTCAGAAACTTACTAAAATGATTCCAATCCTGTGGGAGCTTATTCTTCCAATCTTCAGGTATACCAGCCCCACCAAAAGCTGGTTTAGCTTCCAGCTCAAACCCACCAACCATGAAGCCACCCTTCCACTCACGAATGTATGTGTGAGAGTCATAATCTCTGACACATGGTAGCCAGGAATCAAGCTCTGGTTCAAAACATGGGGTAGTGACATAGAAATGCTCAGCTGGAATGGCTGGCACTCGAACTCTTGGAGAACAGTTCAAACCCAGGTCTCGTGCCCACTAGAAGCAAAAATATCTCAATCTAAATATTCATCAATCAAAATCCAAAACTTAAACTAATAAAATATAATTCATTTGACTTACATAAGGATTTAAAAAAAACATGTGAATATAAGTATGGCAAAAATACAATATCTGAATATGGTTCTGCAGCATTTCCAAATTTTCCTGCCTGACAACTGTCCACAAAATATCAGAAGTTATTTTCAACATCAGTACTAAAACTTCTCAACTCAATTATGACGATGAAGGCAACAACAACAAGCAGTATGCAAATAATATTTGCAGAGACAGGTATTCTGGAATAACTCTACCACACAATTTATAGTCTCCTAACTTCATCTAACAGATGACAGTTATCACTTTGTTTCCTGAGCACTGTTTCTTCTGAAAAAAGTGACTGGACTTTGTTTTCCTATTTATATTGTTTTGCTCTCTTGACAGTGCAAGTAAATTAAGAAGGAATGACAAGGACTTCATACAACATACATCTTTGTAACACCTGTTAATAACCAGGAGCACATACTATGTGGTTTGTAAATTTTTATACCTTGTCTTGCTGAATTTTCTCCTTCATGCAAACCAAAAACTCATGAGAGAATGTGGTATTTGAAATACAAGAAATTTTCACCATTATGCTTGAACACAGAGCACTATATATGACAATGTCAATATTAATAGGAATTAAGCCTCCTGGCTGTTCTGACCATACATTCCTGGCAGCCTATTCAATAGAATTATTTATAACAAATTATTTTAAACATTTTAACCAAATGTGGAATGGGTACTCCAAACATTCTGTGTGGCATCCAGTGTTAGAGGATACCATAATGGAGTTTACATAATGTATGGCCTTCTCATAGTACCCAATTGTTTCGAGAACTTTTGCTGGAATATTATATAGTCCAGACCTAATGAGGCTATACTAAAGTGTTCTTGAAATTGTCATATATGTCAGAAATCTAATTAGAAGTTAACTCTAGAACTCAATATTACATCATATGAAGGAGGAAAACATTACAACTTTCCTGGACCCCCTACTTCTAACATCCCTGATTACCCTTACATTATGCAAAAAGATGCAATAGACAGATTAAAATGTATAAAACAGAAAGAGACAAAAAAGTCAAAAAGACAAATAAACACCCTTGTACATTAATTATCACCATCACAGTAGGATGCACAACACTTTCATTGGCAAATATCTGCTCAAGCTTTCAGGTTAGACTTCTACAAGCTTTTGTTTGGAATAAAAAATTGATTCACTCCACAGTAGGTCTAGAGACCCCTGCTTCTTTACCATGCCAGCACTGTTGACAAAATACTCGCAGAAAACTGTACCAATGTTCGTCTCCACCCCTTTAATGCGAGCATTCTCCGTTAAGACTTGTAGCACTTGACAGTTCTCCACATAACGGGCACCTACAAAAAGGAAACTAAAATAAGAAAAAACCTCCTAAACTCATGCACTGGCATCTTTACACTATTTAGTTGGATTTTACACACCTCCTTCCTTAGCAAGTTTTGCTAATGCTTCACATATAGCCTGAGGTTTAGCTACAGCATCCTCAGGTACCCATATCGCACCTTCCAAGTCTTCAGTTCTCAGATATGGATGAAAATTCTTCAGTTCCTTATTTCCAACTACCTGAGGATTAAACCCTCTTAATTAGAAGCTAACATTTACATACCAGCTTTAAAAACTGCAAATGCTTTTTAAAAATATGAATGGTGCAGTCCATGCATGCAAGAAAGCAGTCTCCCCACTATCCTCATGTGAATTATATTCCATGAGCCTATTTTAATTATGATACTTCTTACAGGAGATAGTATACAATTTACAATAATGTCAGATTAAGACCAACTCCATCAGCAGCACTGCAGTATCATCAAAAGAGCTCAGAAATTAGGAATACTTAAGAAGAAATGGTTCATAACATTGTTTTCAGATACTATAGGTCTAAGGAGGAAATGCATTTTATTTAGTGGATCACAGTGTACCTAAAGCATTTTACTGAGTGGAAGAAATAATGACATATTTGTCTAACATTCTACAGGTATCTGGGTAAAATCCCGGCAGGGGTCAGGTATCCTGAGGCTTTCCATGGTATTCCTCTAACTAGAAAAACATATTAAAAAGGGCCACAACCACTTCCTCCCAAGCCCTTCTCTTTTTATGATCCAGAAATATACTATCATATCTCAGTCAATGCTACATAATAACAATAGCTTCAATAGCATCATACATTAAATAAGAAACTAATAAGCCACAGAAATATTTTGACAGACAGGCCTAATAAGAAAAGCCCTCCAACAAACAAATTATATCTCTTGCCACTCAAGAAATTCCCAACATTTTATAAAAATTGGAGGTTCATTATAGTGCTTACAAGAGCCCACCACTGGTTCCTATCCTGAACCAGATGAATCCAGTCAATACCACCTCATTATACATCTCTAAGATCCATTTTAATATTATCCTCCCACCTACATCTAGGTCTTCCTAATGGTCTCTTTCTTCTGGTTTGCCCACCAAAACCCTGTATGCATTCCTCTTCTCTCCCATGTGGGCTACATGCCCTGCCAGTCTCATCTTCCTTGCCTTGATTAGTGTAATTATATTTGGCAGGGAGTACAACTTATGAAGCTCCTCATTATTTAAGTTCACTGCTACAACTATAAAGTTCTGTAAGTAAATACTGTAATTAAATCAAAACATTATACAAAGCAAATGTCCCACAATTTAAATAGCAACTGTCTTATAAAATAACAAAAAAAGCTGTGCTTATTCCCATATGAATACAATTCAATGCACACCACAGCTCGCAATGTGTAATTTTCCTAGAAAAATGTTTGAAGCTCGTGTCAATGTGATACATACCTCACAATGAAGACCTGTTGCCTGGTGATAAGCCATTCGTCGTTTTAAAGCAATCAAGCGATCTTTTGTCTGAGCCAAATTGACACTGCCAATTTGTTTAAATCCTGAAAAAGCACGGAATTAAAGAAGTTATAAAGATACAGAATGTCTCTGTGATTACAGGTACTATTAAATAAAATAAGGTATGAAGCATTCACAGCAAATAAATGTACTAAAATCATCTCAGACCACCAGCCACATCAAAGTTGATGCTGACCAGCTGAAGGGATTTACTGCAAATATTAAATAATTGTTAACATAAACTATACAGATTTCATTAGCATTACACTCATACAGAGACTGTAAGCCTACCTATGTCATAGCCCAGTTCTTGTAATCTTCTATACAGTTTGATACTGTACATTATGAGATTTCTATCTGCTATTGGTTTGAAAAGACCTAGAGTACCAGAACCAAAATGTGAGGTACCACTTCCAATTCTGAAACATAAAATTAAAATTTATTGTAAAACATTATGCTACAACTTATTACCATGTCTACAAAATAAAATGTCTAACAACACTACCCTGAAACTTCGCAGTCTTCCACAGTGTATATACATGCATATTCCAAGGAACAATAAGTTTGTCAGATGAAAAGAGGATGTGGAACAAGTCAAGATAATACACTATACATTATACAAATACAATTCATACATTTATACAGATTTCACATATTATAAACAAAGGATACATCTAAAGCAGTGATATGTTACAAATCAATCTACCCATTACACGCAGTAGATAAATTATACTACCCATTTATATTGTATGAAGACAAGAACACCTTCATGAACATTATGACTTATCTGTAAACAATAAAAGTTCATCAACAGAGTGAAAGAAGTGATTAAGCATCTCTTCAATGCTACTTTAAATTGTGCCTTTTTATTTATAAGAATGTGGAAAAATTTTATACTTGCATAACATGCATTCTTCTGAAAACAAGTTAGCAATTAGTCTATGAAGCTCATTCTTATTCCTTGTATTGACACTGTGTATAGCAGAATTAGTTTGAAGATGTTCTTGGTCATTTATAATGAAGTCCATTAAATTTGCATTAATGTCTTTGCTAGCTTCAATAAAAGGATTAAAGTCAACAAACTCACATTAAATTTTGACATAACAAATTGCATTACATTTTGAACTACCAAAAGAATTATGTTGAGGATAAAACAACTGAAGAAGTAGAAACAACTACATTTCTTGGACTATAAATTTACAATAACTTATACTGGAAAACACATATGCAAAACATTATCCCTAAACTAAGCTCAGCAAGCTTTGCTATGAGGACTGTCACATCAGTCATGAAAATGTAAACTTTAAAATTAGTTTACTTTGCTTACTTCCATATGATCATGTCCTATGGAATAATTTCCTCAGGAAACTCAACAGACAGCAAAAAAGTATTTTACATCCAGAAGAAAATCAATATAATAATGACGGGCATTAAAGGGAAGCCTCATGTAAGGAACTGTTTTAGAAATTTAATATTCTTCCACTAGCCAGTGATCTTAAATCACTGGTCAAAAATATAAATACCAAAAAAGAACAGCAAAGAAACTCTATCAGATTCCAAAGAATAATTTCACTCACAAGTGGTTCTGTGCAGAAGAACAAAGGACACAATTTTGCATTAAGTTCAGAGTTTCTTTTAAAAAATACTGCACTCTGCTTTGTCATTTTATAAACTGGGGCAACAATTTATTCTTTCCAGCACTAAAATAATTCTCATTCAATCTAAACAGGGACTGTTAAGTTTTGTTTTCTAATACTGAAAATTATATATGGTTAAAAAGACATGTAAGTTTTGCTTATTTGCCATATTTAAAAATTAGTCTAATACAATAATAGTTCTTCAGCTTTTCAGTGTGTTTCCAAAACAAATACTAAGAATCAACTGTGATAATACACAAGCTAAACTCATTATTATTTGTGTGTAATAAAGAACTTAGTCAAATCTGTATAATTAACAGAACAATCCAAGTTCCCACTATCAAAATATATTAGGCTGTAAATTCCACTCTGTTGAACTCCATCCAAAGAAGGAACACTTGTAAAGTACTGTCATAATTATGAAATTTATATTTGTATTAGACACAAATATTGAATTTGTGCTATGACATGTTCTACATCCCTAGTTTATGCCTATGAAAGATCTATGGAATGTAAATAAATTCTATTCTATAAACCAATTACTCTATAGACATACTATATAAATATTACTATATACATGTTACAAAATAGTTGGAACAATCTCATGCAGCTACAAAAGAAAATCACACTACATCATCAAATAATACACAAAATCTCACTTTTTCTGTTCAAGCACTAGGATGTCATTCCACCCATTCTGTACTAGATGATATGCAACAGAATTTGCTACTGTTCCCGCTCCACATATAACAATTTGGGCTTGCTTTGGTAGTACTCCTTCACTCCCCATGGCAAAATTTGAATACTGTGCCATATTGCTATTTAGTTTTGCATGTATTTTGAAGTCAGTCTTCTTGCATGCATGAATTTTGTAGCCATTTGATGACTGTTTACATATATTTTGATAATGTAAGAGCCAAGTAGTTTCTCTTACAGACTTCACAGCAGTTGTTAGTGAACATGTGGCAAACAACATCTTTGCTGTAATGAAAATAATTCAATATAAACAGAAACATAAAATCAACACTTTATATTCAGTGTCACATCCCACTTATTTTAAGGATAAAATAATGGCAATACTGTATATATGAACACTTCATGTCTACATTACAACACTGAGACAATTTCCACATAGTTCAAGAAGACCAACTGTACAGAGGTCTTCTATAGTATCTTACTTTGTTTGTGCTGTAGTATGAAGGGGTGCACTAGCCAGTCTGATTGACAGATGAACTTTGGCGACCTGCTGATCACACAGTATCTTACGAAATTAAAGAATTTTGATAAATTTATATTTATGACGTAAGATATTAGTAAATTTGTCCCATATTCATACATGTACTGATTTTCTTCTTCTCATACGAATTTCAAGGTACCTACGGTTGTGTCCGAAGGCCATTGCCCCTACCGATGTATTGATGCAAGATAAGGATTCCTGATGGCACTGTTATGTTGGCATAAGTGGGCAGTGTCGTGTCCGTATATAAGCTGCCTTTACGGTGAAGACAATACAAATGGAGAGAAAGGAGGGGTAGATTTTGCACAGTGAATAAACTTTATTACTTAAAATATGACAAAGACTGTTTAGTGATTCTAAAGCGTAATTGCACTTGCGAAAGACAGAGACTCGACGATAAAATGACGACTTGGAGGGACAAGGTAATTTTGATACTTGGATAAATCCGAAAAGATTCTTCTTAATATACTTCCTATGCAGTAATTTTGTTGTGGATTTATTGTCACCTACATTAGATTTAAAACTTATTAACGGTTCCATATAAATTCAGGTTTTGTGAAATTGATAGTTATTCTACAAAACACCTGCAGCTTCCAAAATAGTAGTTAAAAATAGATATTTTAATTATATTAGTATGATTCACGTCTTGTATCAGTACGACCCCATTAGTACTGTGCCAAATTTAAGTATTGATAGGCACATATGTATAAAGTACCTAGAATATATTATTCTGCAGTGGCTTACATGACTGCATAAAATTTACTTGTGAGAAAAGTGTGTAATACAGTTTTTGGGTAGTCCTTATCAAAAGTATGGAATATTATAGATTGAAGAGCTACAATACAAACATTGTGTGTATGGAAAGAAATATATTATGTGAAAGATATAATAATTATATCATGTTCTGTAAGCCAATTACTTCAAAGTTTTCCTGTTCCAGTATACTGCAGGGTTCTTAAACAATGTAGATGAAACCACAAGAGAAGCATTATTACATATAATACATACAACAAAGAAAATCAGTCCTCTACCAGATTTTGAAAGGCTCTCAGCAGATGTGCAAATCAGCCTTTCTTTTGGAATGGACTGTGATCAAGTATATCCAAATATTTATATTGGTGATGTGTAAGTTTGTCATAATATGTATGTTTCCATATCCCATTATACGTACAGTCGGCGGTTATAGAACGTTTTATTTTATGTGCTCATGTATTTTGCAGTGGTGCTGCAAAGAATAAACATTACCTCAGAAGGATTGGGATCACACATGTCTTGAACACAGCAGAAGGAAAGGGATTTGGAATGGTAAATACAAGCAAAGACTACTACAGAGATACAAATATCAAATATATGGGTATTCAGTTATTAGATCTACCAGTGGCCAATATTAGCATGCATTTTGAAGAAACTGCTGCCTTCATTGAAAATGGAGTGAAAAGAGGAGGTAAGTTTAAATTTTCAGATTTTTTCAAACTAAGGTTCGGTGATTGTATCAGATGGATTATCTGAAAGCAGAATTATATGCTGGATTGTCACTGTGGAGATCTGGGTTCAATCCCAGGTGACTTAAAATGAGATTTATAGTAGATGAAGTGGTACTGGAGTAGGTTTTTGCCTGACATGTTTTATTTTCCCCCGCTAATCATTATTACACCATTGTTCCATACTCATCGATCATTGCCCCGTGAGTTATGTGATATCCATGATCAAGCAGCAGATCATCGTAACCTTCATCCTAAGCTAGGAGGTTTGTCTGTGACTTGCACTTGTCTGGTCTTGGAGTAAATGCTTAATAAACTTCTAATCCAGATTTATTAAGTTTACCATAATGACAGTGCCCATGATAACTGGTTTGCCTGTTATGTTGGAATCCATGTTGATTATCCACAATAATTTTGTATGAAAATAATCATGTGAGTGAAAGTGGTTAAGCAGCTAGTTGACTATATAAAGTTATGCATGTGAAATATTTCAGACAGAAGTTTAAGACTCAGTGACACAATTCTTTTAATTAAGTGTATTTTTTTCTCCTGTTGAGAGAAAAGACTTTAATGTTACATAAAAATGTATAATAAACATATTCTAATATAGCAGAATAATTGTGTGTGTATTGCATACATTTAGAATCTTCCCTGGAGTTTGTTCAGAATTGTTATTTTTTTAAATATACTATACAATTGTAAAAAAACTGAGAAAGCAAATGGAGGCAACAGATGGCATAAGATTACAACCCTATATCGAATTTTATGGTTCATGATGATGTAGAGCCCTTTTAAAAGTATTGACACATTTTTCCTAGAAATGTTCCCTAAAATCTGTGTCTTATGGTCTTAAGTTATAGCAGGGTCCCCCCCCCCCCAAAAAAATTTTCCCTTTAAAATCTGAGCATGTCTTAACCTAGGAAATGTGGTGAGTACATTTACTGCAAAGTATTATTCATTACAACTGAAAAACAGGGGAAACTCAACAATTACCTAACCTGGAGATATATTATTTCAGGCAAGGTGTTGGTGCACTGTGTAATGGGAATGTCTCGCTCTAGTACCTGTGTCTTGTCTTACCTGATGATCAAAGTAGGACTTACTGCCACTGAGGCATTGAGGACAGTTCGACTTCATCGTTCAATTCGCCCTAATGATGGCTTTCTTCACCAATTGGCAAAATTGGACAACAAACTAAGACGAGAACGGGGCCGCATGGCGAATCTCTAATATGGATTGAATGGTGATAAAGTCCTATTAATACATATGTAAGCATGCAACTATATTAACTGTGGAAAAAACTAATATTTAATCCATAATACATATCATAAATTGTGACATTTTACCTCTCATCCATAAATATCACCCCGAGATTAACACCATCAACCGAGAAGCTGGCCAATATTGTACAGTTCATATTCATCATAATAAAACATACAACCATTATCCCAGAAATTCCTTTAACTTTTCTGGCAGACCTGCCCCTTTCATGAAATTTTCTTTATGCTGCAGGTATATTTAAAATGTCTGAAGTAACTGCCTTAAAGGTAACAATATAAAATGCTAACATACTGATTTATTAACATTGCAGTGATAAATATGTTGATTTCCTTTCATAAAACAGTTATGAGAACTGGTTAATGGTGGCTAAAATTATATTGTATAGGAAGCATAGTCCATCTATGAGCCTAAACACTCTTATTTCAGATAATGGGCAAACAGATTCTAACCGTCCCAAAGTTTTGAGTTCAAATAAGTAGATCAGTAAATTTACTTACCACAGAAGTATTCATAAATGAGATTAAAGCACAAAATCATGTAAAGCATTTTAAATAACTTGTATGGTATTGCGATAGATTATCTTAAAATATACTAATTCTGATGTGCCTGTACATGTAATTTATAGTATCTCAAAAATTGTGATAAAATGGTTAGTACAACAAACATTATAGGCTCAGCAAAGGTTATTGTACAGTTGTGAAGGAGAAGTAATCCGGTTTATTATAAGAATGAAATATGGTGCTGAGTTACGTTATGGAAGCACGCTTTATAAAATATGATGTAACATTGAGGTTTATCAGTTCCTTCATAAATAATTTTTAAACGAACAACAACTTCATGTATTCTCTTATCCTTAAATTACTGATTTCTGTATTGTACAGCCTCATTTACAATATCTACAAATATATGCTTTTGGTTTTATACAGTGTACATAATACATCCATTCTTGCATATATGGGACTTCCTTTTGCTTTGCAAGCCCTCATTTTAATATTTATTAAATACAAAGGTTTGTGCAAAAACATGAGAGTCTTCTCTTAAACATTATATACAAAACATCTGAAAATACATCAATATCAATGTATAAGAATGCAGCATACTGTTCTGAAAGCTGAACTTATTTTACAGAATACTTCACATTAAATATGATATTCTAAATAAATTGGGAATATTTTATAAAGATACATGGAATGTCCCATAAATCTGGGGCAAAGAAGACTGGATTACTTGGCAAATATGGAATAAAGTAGAGGGAGAAGTTGCAAATAATGTTTCAAATCCAAAGCATTGGAATATTTTATCTAGGGTGAGTCATTGTGGTGCTACGCTGTTTACATTATCAATAGAAGAAAGTTATGGCGATGTTGACATGACACCAAAAAGAGGGGTATGTTTCCAGTCCTGTAGTACCTGTGACTACTAAGTACAGTTTTAGAAATCAGATAAATACCCAAGTTAAATGAAGCCATCTCTATGGCTTAAGAGAACATTCTACATTGAGAACAATGACAGCCTCATTAATATACTTCTAGTGTTTATAGTGAATTGTAAATTCACAAGCTGAAGATTGTGAAATCAGTACACATTAAAACATAAGTTTTGTATAAGATCATTTAGGAAGGAAAATTTACTCTGCAGTGTAAATTTTTCTTCACAGTATATACTGTACAGGTTGTTATTCACTAAGTATTATTAAATGCCAAAGATGATATGCATGATGATAGACTGTATCAGGTAGTGGTTAAATTAAAAATGAAACACATTTAGGAAGAAGAGAGTGCTTCAAATATAATTTTTTGAAATCACACTTCAAATACTTCAGTAGCAATAATACAAATCTGTTAATGCTGTTGTACAATAACCCAAAATAGATTAATCCTGGATATTAAATATTTTTACTGTGGTGGCACTACAAGCAGCTGAGTATCATCATTGCTCGAGAGGTATGACAGTAGACTTGTAGATGATGTGACACTCTCTCTACTTGGAGATTCAGAGGTTGAGGTGGAGCTAGATGAAAAAAGCGGAGAAGAATAACGTCCTTCATCTCTTGCCTCTGGTTCTTGTTGAATGTCAACCAGGCATGTGTCGTAGAATTCAACAGGAGTGAGAAGATCTCTTTCTTCTCTGGATGCCATACTAAGTGCTGAACTTGTAGGTATAGTATTATGGTTTGAATTCATAGATTTGTTTTCATTTGCACCATGATCAGAAACAATCATGGATTCTCGATGCTGTGCAGCTAATGATGTTTCCAAGGTAGTTGAAACTGGAATGGATGGAGTACAAACCAAACTATGCAATGGAGGAAAGCCTGGACAGTGTGGTGATCTATGCCTAGATTGGTCTGTTCCTGGCAACACAAGATCAGCTCCAGTAGGAGAGGCACTACTTCCAATAGAATTTCTCTGTGATCTTCTTCGCCCATTTGAATATCTCCGAGTTGATCGTCTATTACTATGATGATGCCGCATGTTTGAAATATGATGTTCTGATGGTGCAAAGGTAAATGCCCGACAACCTGGTGGGGTAACACGCTGTAGTTGCTGACACTCACCTACTGTAACTGTGTAAGCAGGTGGTGGTTCACGGTGAAAGAAATCCTCTGGATGAGGGACTGACCTCAGGCCACTAGAAACATGACTGACTTCATCATGCTGAATCCTGTAATTGTTAGATACAGCTAGGCGAAGGCTATATAGACGACACATGCAACCAACTGCAATGACCAGCAGTAAACCACAGATCAGTGAACCTATGATAGCTGCTGTGATGATGGACACCTATGGAGTAAACAAACATTACCTGTGGAGCCATATGATTTTGCTACTGAAATTCATCGCCACCCTATTGTCTATCACTACCATCTTAAATCTCATAAGCAAACCCATGACCTTCCAAATGATTACTACATCCAACCCTCTAAACTATTATTATGAACACCTGACAAATCTGTTTGGACTAGATGCATTAAACGCTGCAGAAATTGTCAACTGCCATACACAGAAATAATGTTCTGGAAAATTCTTTAGAACAGTAAGAACAAGATATACTGGAATTATAGCTGCAGAAATACAACTCAAGTTTAGTAGCCGCTTAATAAAATCCTCTTGGCCAGTTGCCTCACAAATATTTTTATACTTGACAGATTTTTTTTTACCTTAATGCAACTTTGTTCATCATTGCTGTCACCACAGTCTGCTTCATCTGAGTTATCTCCACAATTCTGCACTGAGTTGCAATGTTCAGAAGCTGTGTAACATCCATCACCATTGACACATGCAGTTTTGCCATCACAACTTTTTTCTGCAATAATGTACAAAAATTACATACCCATTTTAAAATAGGGCCAGAAGAAATAAGGTGAAAGTGAGGACTAGATTCTTCTGGTTCATGGTAGGTTCCAGCAGCAGGCTGTTATAAACACAGTAATGAATCTTCAGGTTCCATACAAGACAGGAAAATTATTGTCCAGCTATGCAACTATTAGCTTATCAAGGAAAATGCTCCATGGGATCAGTCAAAGAGTTCTCATCTTAGGTTTTTCAAAAATGTTTTAAGGAATTTCTTTTCTCATTCAGAGGATTATGTTCCCTTTAATGTTAAACACTTCACATCATACCACCCAGACACTTAATTTTGTAAAATGCTGACCCTAATTTTTGGGACCCCTCAGAGTTATGGCTTTTAACTACTAAAGTAAGTAATAGAAATGCTTGGATGTAGATCTGTTTGACTACAGTGAGCACAAATGTTTGAAGTTCTGACTATTAATACATAGGTAAATTCTGACAATGATTTTAGATATGTAACATGACTCTTCAGAAGTACAACACACATACTTTTCAAACCACAATTTCAGGTGGAGGGTAATTCAAAATATGGCCAGTGATTAGAATAGAATTTATTTACATTCCATAGATTCTTCATAGGCCCAAACTAAGGATGCAGAACAGGTCATAGCACAAATACAATACTTCTTTCTAGTAAAAATATAAATACATAGATATAATAGTTATTTACAGATTTAAATGTAAAACCTGAGAATGAAGTTAAAAAATTTAAAAATATTAAAATCAAACCTATAAATGACAATAATTGCACAGGAAAAGCCTGAATATGTTTTTTGCAATGTATAATTTAACAGGGTCCCGCGCGGTCTGAGGCGGCATGCTTCGGACCGGTGATACGGAATGCGCGCTGGTTCGAGTCACGGAAAGAAATTTCTCGTGAGATTTTCGACCGGTGTATGGGACCGGTGCCAACCCAGCATCCTGAGGAAATTGGGGAGCTACAATGGGTAGCGTAATCTGGTCATGGAAACTAGCAATGGCTGGGGGTTCGTTGTGCTGACCACACGTCACCCTATATCTGGTTGGATGATCGTTTACCTCTGCTTAGGCATGTGAACGTGAGGCCAGCTAGTCGGCTTTGGCTCTCATAGGGCTATTATGCCACAGATTATTATTATTATAATTTAACAGGAGACTACACTTGGAAAAAGTGAAGGCTGATATAAAATATTCTTAATAAAACTGCACAGTCCTATGAGTATAATGCTGTGTAAGCAATAAGTTCAGAATGAAAATGTCACATATTAAGAACTATACTAACATTACATTGTATTCATTAGCTGGCTGGATCTCACAGATACTACAAAATCATTTATTTAACTTTCTGCCACAATGGAAATTTCCAGACATTTACATCAGAGGTTCTTGACTACAGGTCAAAAACTATAGATGTCATACAAAGTATATACAGTGAAACCTCTATCCATCGTTCCCGGATGCATCGTCCGTTTTGTTCGGTCCCGAATACATCCCATATAAAATAATGTTACATTTTCCCGCTTCTATCGTTCCTCGAACTATCGTTTTATCGCATCGATCGTTCAAAAATCTTAGTCCCGGCCCACAATTTTCCCGCAATGATCGTTTCTGAGAAATTAAAATGCTGGGTTTTGAGATAAATTAATACCGAAAGACGCACAATGTTTTTGGAATAAACAGTAGCGGTAACCTGTTATGTCGCCCAACCAGCACATTCTTTTGGAATGAGGGTCAGCGGTGCAGGGGTGATAGTTGGAGTGAATGGCGGTGCCCATTGTCAGAAATTTTACGATTTTAATTAGGGTGCACTCATATTTCGTTCCAGCGATGCCAGATGGCATGTGCAGTGTGAATTTCTTCACAAATGCTTTTATTACAAGTACAAAGGAAAGGCTGGCGGCACTTTTCATTCATCTGGTTCATCTCGTTTCCAGCGGTTGAGGGTCTTCTACAGCTACGTTTCGTTGAGTTCGGCAGTAATAGTATTTCCATTCTTCCTGTTATTGTCCGCAAAGGGGGTTGGAGTGGTGAGGAAGAATAAGACGACGACGAATGCGAGTAAGCTTTGCCGAGTTTTGCCGAAGCACACGCTGCATTGGCGAAAGTGAAGTCGTTCTTTTATGCGCTTAATATTAGTGAACGTGACGAGGAAAACATTTTGAACGTGGAAAGTGCTCTGTTTGGTCTAAAACGTAAAGTTTCGACAAACCAGTTTTCCATTAAAGACTTTTTTGGTAAAAAGAAGTAACTTTGAAAGAGAAACATTGTTTTTTTAAATTTTTAATGCTTTCCCGCATCTATCGTTTTCCCGCATTCATCGTTTTTATTTCCCACCCCCACCGAAAACGATGCATCGAGGTTTCACTGTATAACCAACTTACCACATGCCATTTCATCAGAGTAATCACTACAATCTGCTTTGTTATCACAGAGTTGATGAACCTTATAACATCCTTCATCTGAACGACAAGCATATTCACCAGGACCACATTTGACACAGTCCTTCTCATCTGAACCTGACATGCACTCCATTTCTCCATTACAACGTTCAGTCACATTGTTGAAACAACGTGCCTCTTCATCCATGCATGGGATTTCATCTGGACCAGAGCATGGCGATACTGTAATCATACAATCCTTAGACTCATGGTGAATTCTGGACATATACCAAATATGCCATATACAACTGGACTGATACTTTTGTGATACACATGTAACAACTGTGATCTGACACATGTTGGATCACATGTCAAATGGTCGTTGTTGTTCAATACGTTCTGGGGTTAAAACAGGCATGAATGCACCATTTTCTTTATCATAAAATTAGGAGAAAGGAAAATGGAACAGCAAAACTGTTTAAAAAACCTGGCCTCTTGGAGGAAATAATGGTGACTGGTCAAGCAACCCAGAAACAAAACAATAGTCTCTAATGGAAAAGTCCAGTCTCCGAATCATATATAAGTGTGAATATCAAAATTAAAGACCAAACCATTCTATCTATTTCTCTAAAATCTAATCTGAATCTGTTCCTATAAAACAAACAGTTAACCAAGCACTTTACCTTCAGGTTTTAAGAGAATTTTGGTAAAACTAAGAACAAAAATTAATTGTTCATGTCATACACAGTATGGAAATTTAAATGGCTATATTTAAAAACAAATGAATTATCTGCATATCAAGCAATCATGTTCTAATAGCACATACTGTTTAATTTCCTAACAAGACATTTTACTTAAAATTATGATGTAAAGATATAATGCAATTGGTTAGTATGTTTACAACCGACCCAACTGCACTGGATATTTAGAAACTATAAAAACACTACACACATAAAATTTAACTTAAATGTCAGCAGTGACATTTCTTCCATAGCACTTGGAATGGTTATAAGGCCAAACCTTGGTTCCCAGAGCCTAATTAATAAGCACTAGATACACCACACAAAGATGGTTTCGCAATAAAATAAGAGGAGCTTTACATTCCACATCTTTCCCTTTATTATTCCAAGATACATGCCAAAAAAAGTACTATGTTTAATGGTCTAATAAAATAACTAATGATAATTGTGCCAAGTGGTCTCTCTATTGTAAGATTATAGGGAATGAATCTACTGTTTTGTATTTTATGAATTATTTACCATGGAGTGGAGACTGTAACATGACCTCAAAATAGACTCCAGCTGCCCTTCTTCCACATTTTTACATTTTCACTCATGATTAATGTATCATCTCTCATATGATGCTTCATAACCATAGCAGTTGATATATCATAAAACAAAGGAATAACAAATAAATAGTACTGCAGCATGGAAATCTACCTAATAAAATGAAATTCATGTACATTTCATGGCAAATGTAATTAATTTACAAATATCAATTCACTATGGGCAATTATGTTTACATTATTATATACTTGCCTAATGTAACTGTATAATTAAGCATAAATCCTCTTCCTCCTCTGACAACCTTTGATGTGTGGAACTTGATGTTTGTCTTGACTTGTGGCACTGATATAACTGAAGGAGGTCTGTGCAGTCCACAATATTGTTTTGTATCCCCTCCTCCATCCTTTGGTAAGGACAGCCAGGTATGTGTACAACAAGGAGGAAATCCACAGTTTACATCTTCTTCAATATCAAAGTCTATCATGCTGAAAAACAAATCACTAAGCACCTTAAAAGTGTGAATAACTAAGATTTTAAGGTTTAAACTAAGATAAATAAAACTCTTCATATTAAACACCGAAGAACTTACGTCTAACTCACTATTAGTCCTGTGTCATCAAAATAGTTTCTTAGAGACATTTTAGTACTGAATATTCACTAAGAACTATATTTAAATTGTAGTGCTTTAACTTATACATACATCCTTCATAGTGAAGATAACAAAGAGTAAAACAAAACAAAACAAAAATACCTCTCAAGTTAAACCAAACATCACAGTCAGCTATATCTAAAGATGAAGAAGCCACAGGAAAAGTCAAAAGGTACTCAAATACATGTTAACATATACAATAATTATTATAACTTATATGTTTCATGTATTTAGGGACATATTACTGGAACTGCACATATAACTTTAAGAACTGTATTCACTTTTCAGAAGATAAATGTTTTACAGAAATGTGTATTAAAAATACGGAAAAGCGAAGTCCACACCTATCACTTCATGGAGATTATAAATTAAAACTACAACCGATGATAATAAATTAACAATCCAACATTGAAACATAACATAGAATCTCACGAAAAATAAATCACAGAAAATCTTGCACACATGTGACTGCTTGTTTCATGCTTTTAGCTGTTATTTGTCTTATCAAAGAGTCAGCCAAATTAATTTAATAACAATTTTATATAAGTTGAAGTTTTGCAGCAACTAAAAGTGATAAAATCTTCTTAGACAACCAGCCATGTCAATCTGGAACAGAAGTCCAATGTTTCAGAGACTCTTTGTCTCCATCATCAGGGAATGACATTATCCCCTGATGATGGAGACAATGACTTCTGTTCCAATTTGATGCAGTTGGTCACCTGAGAGGATTCAATTACCTTATTTTTACTACACCTTCTGGAGGAGCATTTATGACCCATGTACAGCTGGTATGATTTGGGTATAACACTGGATAATTTGGACTCCTTATAATGCCATTCTGATTATTCAGTTCAGGTGGATTACAAATTTCAGGCTGATGGGAATATTTTGATGCTAAAGCAGTACCAATATATACTGGAAAGAAACAAAATGTGTTGAAATACAAAATGTAACATCATGTAATATATGTCATAAGATAACACCAAATTGGATTAAATATATGTGCTTAAATTTTACCTGAATAAAGACACACAATTATAAAAATATAGCCAATGCTTCCAATACGTTTAAAATGTCTGCCTTGGTATAATGTAGTCATTATGAATTGATTATGCTGCAAAGAAAAAACATAATATTATAATACTGAATTATATACATGGCTTCCCAGATACAAGTATCATGATATGTACACTCAGTACAGGAATTCTTAATATGAACAGATAAAACAGAAGAGACATACATGTCCCAAAAGTAACAATCCACCATATGTAGCCTACATGCAGCATCATATAGCAGAAGTTATGGATGGGTATCACTGGATAATTCATGTTATAACAGCATACACAACTGATCTTTGTTTATTCTGGCATGATGTTCAAGCACCTTTGGGCCCAATACTGACATTTTGTTATTTAATAATGCTATCTGAAGATTATTCAGGAATATCCAGAACTTGCACAATCTTAACAACCATCAAGCATTTATTATAGAAAAATACAAAATATTTGTTCCGTCATATACAAGTGCCAATGACCACCTTCTTCATGACAGCAGCTACATTCTACACACATGCAGTGTTACAACTTACTTTGTACGTCACAGCTAGTTCTGACTAAATCAATACCTGATTGGACTAGTAGATTTCAAAGTGACAGAGAATTACCTATTAAGCTGAGGGAAGTGACAAAATGAGTATGAATCAGAGGATGGCAGCAGTATGTTTAGTAAATATACCAGGATATGGAAATTTTTGTAACTACTACAACTTCAGTCATTTTAAGTTATTTCATTTGTATAATGTCACCTGCTTTGTCACAAGTAATAATACTGTCACTAATTTAATACATACACATGTATGCATGTGTTATGTGTGTATTTGCAAGTCTCTAAATCTGTCTCAAGAATTCACGATGATAAATGAGGTCACGGGTGCATGTATCGGGTACATTACAAGGGTAGTAAACAAACTATAAGTTTATAGTAGATTTACTGTATGAGTTAAACAAATGAAATTATCATCATAGTAATCATCTAGTAACCAACTGAAGTCATCGCTAACAACAAACGAAAAGACGTTATCACCAAAAATACCCAAACTTCTCTACAATGGTAATGTACTTGTAAAGGCAATTATGTATGTCGATCTTCCTGATGGTTCTTATACCCATACGTGATAAAATATTGGCACAACACACGTCGAAAGAATATACAACTTTAATGCAAATTTATAATAGTAGTTTGCATCATATTATGTACAATATTTCCTCTACAGATGACTTACAGTCTACTGAGTTCAAATATCAAGACATTTTCCTGGAAGCGAGACGTTCGTCGAAATAGCATCGCAAACCTCACACACGCACGGAACCATTTTTTTCCGCTTTCCCCTTGCTCCCGAACGCCTTCTGAAACAACCTCGTATGTGACAATACACGATAATCTGAAACATAACGAATAACATAAAACATAACGTATTCTTGTAAGGGAAAAACACCAATCATGCAAGATTCTCTCTGAAAAGCGATGTATCGATTATTTAAGATGCGTGCCTTCTTCAAAAAAGATGGTATTAGGATAAACACACTCATTAGATTACAAATATTGTTTTGCTGTTCGCTTGTTCATGAAATTAAATGAATGGAAGTTGAGAGGCCAGCAACAAGAGGTCAACAAGAACGACCAACAACTCGATGGAGACGGGAAGATGGGCCTATGACAAGAGATTCAGTAAATACATCCGATAATCGTTCTGACACAAGTGTACGAGAGCATAGGGGTGAAGAGAGACCTGTTTCACGACGTGGGATGATGTCGAGACAGGTGAAAATGGCTTTATTTTAAATGTCAGAGAGAGAAAAAACAACACTTCATGAAGTAATATGTCAGTTCATATCCTACTGTATACACTGTTGTACTTTCCATACCATACCTAATTTTGATGTGCAGAGTTCATTGTATTCTCTAAAGGTAAAAGATTTATCAGTTTGTTATTGTGCTGTAATAGGGAAGCATAATGCAATTAAGGTAACAAGAATAAGTGCAGTGAAAAATTCATATAATCAGAATTTTCAGACATGTTCTTTTCTTAGAAGAAATGCACCATTATTTATGGCTGTATTTTAGAGTCCTGTTATGGATGAGCGACCATATACTCAACAAAATGCTCTGAGACCCAAGACTGCAAGTAGAAATGCAACAATGCGACCTCCTTCAGCCACAGCATTTGCTACTGGTAATGCAGTGATACCAGGTACTGCACCACGTTTATCTACAGCAATGCTACAGCAGCCAATACACCGAACAGGCACTTCATTGACCTTAACAGGAGCACAGGTATGGCATCTCTTCTTTTTTTAATTATGATTTTAGGTTTAACAATGTTATCTTACCTTTCTGATTTTTACAATTAAAGTGTATGTGTTCCCTTGCTATTAGCATTGATAGAAGCATCAGTAATGCAGAATTTACACCTAATATTGTCAGTGATATCACACAGCATAATTCAATGGGTTTATGTCCATCAAAAATCTCGTGGA